CAGAGAGTGTCGCGTAATTTATTTGTGAGATGCGCGGCATGTTTGCAAGCAGAAGGAGGTCACTTTCAGCACCTGTTATAAACCACGGTAAGTTATCTTTTTACTGTATTCTTATAAATGTGTGCATGTAGAGCAACTGATGGACGGAGACTCAGCGACACCACTACACTCACGCTATCGGGGAACGGCACTGCAGTCGCGGGGAGGAGTTGCATCCGTTCTGCGGTGGTATGACTCACGGCAAATTGCAGCCGCGGCGCGCACTTGATTGTACGCACTGTAGTTAGGAATGGCAAGCAGACTTAAAATATGTAGGAATGGGATTTATATTGTAAATAACATGATGCCACACCTCCTGAACCAGTGCACATGCCAGCAAAGCTGTGCAGCACAGACAAAAATAGTTAAGAAGTAATGAAATATTAATTCATATCACACTGTTCCCAACTAAACCTGTTTTAACACCCAATATAAGTATGCTTTCATTCTTATCTGTCATGCCTTTCAATTCAATTAGTCAAATTTGGTTCTGATAACAGGAAACATAGCCGGTCATGGTAGCCGACTGGTCTAAGGCATGCACTGTCTTCGCTCGCTCAGAAGCCAGGATTGTGTGTTTGAATCCCACTCAGGTCATGGATGTTTAGTGTTTGTGTGTGTGTGTTTCTATGTTTGTGTACAGGCAGAGGCCTTGCGAAGAGGTGATGATCACCTGCCCAAGGAATACTAACAAACATCTTATTAATGAGGAACCAAAACTGGCATGTCAATATTATGACAGCTATGTAAGACCACATCAACACTCTTCTCCTCCTAATGTAGAAGAATACAGCAAAATCTCATTTAAAATTAAACAACCTACCAACACTGGGTTGAGAGAACTGCCCACATACACAGCATGGGTAATCATTCCTCATACATAGTCCTGTGAGCTGAAAGAGCTTCATAATAATCATTAATCTGAACATTGCTCATTTATTTACATTTGTCAGAACAAAGAGGACACGTGTATTGTTGAGTCTTGAATTACTTTCTGGTGCATTTTAAAATTACTGATTTAAAAGTGCTACTCACTAAATTCTGAGGGGGAGGGAGACATTTCAGAGACTGAAGAACATTATGCTCTTCAGTTGACATGCTGTTATATACTGGAATAATTCTATACTTCACCTACATAACTGATTCTGCAGTTTCTATATATTATAATCATAACATTAATTACCCATCTGTCATGACTACCATCAATGAAAACTGCATTTTTCCTGTGTGTGATTCACTTCATGATTACATCTACCCCAGAAAATTACACAATGCACTATTCTATCAATTTTGTGCACGAAGTATGGTTAAACAACAATACCATTATTTCAGCCTATCAGCATGATTATAACACCGTAACAGGCATATAATATCATATATGAGGGCATGGAATGGAATTTCCTTTCCATGAAAGCAAAAATCTAAATTAAGATAAGTTACAGACCTCATAATGTGTCACTGTCACAAACTGTCCCCATTTATATGACAGCATTATAAAAATAATAATTAAAAACCTCAATTAAAAACTGTACTTATTAATTTCTAGCTACAGAATATTCAGAGCTATGGCCTTATTTGTTACAAGATGACATTTCTCATCCTCATAATACATGTCTATTTTATTTCTTCCTTCTTACTTCCAAACCCAGTGGGGAAGTTTGTTTCAGTCAGGTTTACAGCAATCATACAATACAGCAAAATTAAGCCTCTAGATATAAAATATCAGAGTAAAAAATGTTAAGCACAGTAATTAAAAAACATTACACAAAGTGACTCCATAACTCCACAGAGCTCAGTCCTTGAGGAGGCACCGGCCACTTAGCAACTGAATTTCAAAATATCTTAAGAACTCCAAAGGATTATCACCGTGTTCACGAGAGCCTTCCACTTGTCCTTATCCTGTGTCATATTAATCCAGTCCATACCACCCAATCCTAGTTCTCAATGATCCATTTTAATATTATCCTTCCACTAACATCTAGGTCTTTCTAGCGGTCTCTTTCCCTTTAGCTTTCTCACCAAAAGCCTCCATGCATTCATTCTTTCCCCCTTGTGTGTTACAGGCCCTTCCCACCCTATCTTCCATTACTTGATCATTCTGATTATGTTTGGAAACTCCTATAAGTTATGAGGCTTCTTAGTTAAGAAATTTTCTCCAACCTGCTATTATTTCACCCCTCTTTGGTCCAAATATTCTCCTCAGCAATGTGGTCGCAACTACGTTTGGTCTATATTCTTCCCTTGCTGTGAGAAACCAAGTTTCATTTCCATACAAAATTACAGCTTTGTATATTTTCATTTTCATGATTTTCTGACAGAAAACAAAATGACAAAAGGTTTCGAACTGAACAGTAGCAGGCATTACCGATATTTCATCTACTCTTTAATTTTTTATGAAACAATCTTGATCTGTTACTGCCACTGAAGTCATACCAAGACAAAATTAATCATTTAACAGTCATTCCAAGTGGCTCACTGTATTTGGCAACATCATTTGACTGACTTCTTTATTAAATCTCTCCTTCTGTAATCTGTACCGTTTACTTATTAACCTAACTGAATTTGATTACTTTCTGTGGGAAATATTATAGGCAAATCTGCTGGGTATGTATTTAACCACAATGTGACACTCAGAATAGCAATGGCATCTACAACTAGAAGAAATGAATTCAATATCTCGGAACACATTGCAATAAAGCTTCCTATTAAAAAAAAAGATCTACACATTGTGTAAGTCCCGCGTTATAACACATTAATGTTAAATACCATGAAAATAAAAATACCTCAAACCACGGAGAAAAAAATACAACATATATATACATATATCGTTGCCATAGTTACGATCAGATCCATTGCAACCTTGAAAATGGTGTTCCCGCCTAGACAAAAAGTGAACTCGTCCACAATTCACAACATTCTAAAATGTACGGAATTAACAGTAAAACCAAAGTACACGCTTAGTATAATAGAAACAACCAAGCTTTAGAAGGGAATTACATACACAGTTATACATAAGAGCTTAATAACGAAGTCAAATAAAATGTTGGATTTTAAATCGCAAGAGCGGGATCAGCACGTAACGAATTCCACTCTGCCGATGTCAAGTCTTATTACAATGAATTTTGCACTATTTTAACATAAAGTACATACATTCTACGTGCAATACATTTCCATCACTTACCGTATATGCACCTAGATAAATTATCTGACGTCTTGGTACAATACCTTCACTTTCCACCATGTATATTTAACAATTTCCTGCACAAACCGAACTACACACAACCTCCCATTCTCCTATGGAAAACCGTAGAATGTCTGTTGGCCCCGGACAAAGACTGCCTGAAATTTGAAATTCTGCGCTCGTCATTGGCTAGTACAAATCGTAGGATTTTCCCGGGTTTGTATGATTGGTGTGCCTTAGGAGAGGGGGATGAGGTCGTGTCCAAATCGAAAATGGTGCACATGGCCGACAATAAATGCCACCAATAAAATATTGTTTATAATCAGATATCACTCAAAATTACAATTCAACACATAGCACAATTTCAAATAATTATCACTAATCCCGAAATCATGTAATAAACGAACATATCCAAAGACTTGTGCTAGCTATATTGTACATAACATCACCACAACCATGTTTTCACCGTAGAAAGAACACACCCAAGACCCAACCCTTTTATCTTTATAAACATGGCCGTCATGAACAGGCGGCAAAATCATCAGAGGACCATGAAATTAAGAGATACCAAATAAGTTCACTTATTTTAGGCATAAAATTAGCAATACACAGGAAACTTCGAGGAGTAACAAATAAAATTTGATGCGATATCATAAGTGAACTAATAACATGGATAAATCTAAAAGTATGTTTACTCTGGAGTAGTCTATTACGGCAAAATAGAGGGGTGAAGGTTGCAGAGGTAAACAACACAAAGGCGGGAAATCGTTGCCTAAGGAGCACTGCAACCACGTGTTTCCTTTTCAATTCACATACTTACACGGATATATACTATATATGTTATTTAATGGCATCCTTTGAGTAGTATAGATTACATATTGTTAATTGACATAAATTAATAAGCGGACGCGTTAACAACAATGTGCCACCAAATACCAGAAGTAAATACGTATTAAATACCGTAACCAACTAACACTTCATATTTTCTAAGATCTAAGGTTTCATGTCGGTGACAATGAGCTTACTGCCACTGTGACGCCATGTTGCTTGGTACATGGGTATCAACGTTTCGGAGGAACCTGCGACCATGAAGACAAAGGCATCAGGTTCCTCGAATGCGATGGTACCTATAAACCAAATCAAGACATCGTCAGTCCACACACTCATTTTTACCTACGGAGTTATAGGTATAGCAACAGTACATTACACCCATAACAGTTCAATCTGTATACATCTAATGAATATTTAGCATCCTACTCAATGGTGACAAAATGGGGTTTGATCCGACACAATGACGTTTCTTTCCTGGCGGTATTTATTTCAGGGGGGGGGGATGGTAATTTACGTCAGTTCAAATATACACAATTCTATCTTCTGGAACGTAATGTCGTGTAATTCGTTGAAAGTAAACCATCGTTTCAGTGCAACATGTAGCCTCCATCCGAAGGGTTAAATAGTAAGCTAAGCAAACCGGGGTGAAGCAGGTAGCAAGCCTGGTTGTTCAGCTGTTAATCAGTTTTGATATGTAAAATTAATTCAATGTCTGTTAAAATGTTTTTGAACGTCACAAGTATTTACTGATTTGTTTATAACTCCTCCCCTCTCCTACTCCTACTGCCAAAACCCTTTTCTATATTTTATCATCAATCTGTAAAGGATTCAGAATTTTTTCATTGGTTTAAGGCAAGGATTACTTGATTACAAAAAAGGAAGTATACAAGTACATACAATCTGTTTTCATATGGAAGAATATCAAATAACCAATGAGAACTGTTATCAAAATTTATGTTGATGATTACCACCACAAGTAACTAAAATTAAACTCACAAACAATTTTTAGAAAAATCAAGAAATGTTCACTTCCATTTCATAATTTATTACTGGGGTAGATTTTGATGTGTCTCAGAAATACCTTGAAGCACAACACCGATATCAAAGTATTCAACAAACTACTCCTATAAGTGATTTATCAACCACATAGGAATTTGATTACAAATTCCAACATAAGAGTTAATATTATGTTAATACACCATTTGGCTGAGCCACAGTCCAGGTGGTTAGTCGCTGGCTTCCCACCACGGCAGCCTGAGTTCGATATGGGTTTTGTGATGAACAAAGTGGCACTGGGGCAGGTTATCTCTGAGTAGTTTGATATCCCCTGACAATTCCCATACCACAGACTGCTCCATACTGATCTCTTCACTGCTATTGTTTGGTAGCGGCTTCCAACAGTGAACCTTCCCTTTCCTGTGAGTTCCGGAATGGTCCCCAGCCTCAGTGACCAGCTTCTAAACACAACAGCTCATGAGTGAACCACAGCAATTCTCAGAGTCAATTACTTTACGACTGGCAGTTTACCGCCTATCAGTTCGTCTTGGCACCAGGCCCCTTGAGGATCATGACCAGAGATTCTTTTAGCAGTTCTCTGCTAACTGGTCCTGCTTATAACATCTCAGCATGGACTGTGTAGAAAACTTTTCTTCCATTACTACTCTCGTCTCTTGTAGCCATGGAAACATGCTTACTTGTGCTGCTACCTAGCAACGGGTCTACATGCCACAACAGTTTTACAGTGGAATCAGGGATGAGTTGCATATGTACAATGTGCTTGTGACCTCAATGATAAACAGAAAAGAAAGTGTGTGGACATCTGTCAATGAAATGCTGTTGAAAGAAACCAGACTTTTTACAGTCCATAATCACCTGTGATAAATTTTTGGTAAAACATTATGACACAGAATCAAAACAGCAGTCAAGTGTTTGGAAACTCAAAAGATTTGTCTCCATCAAAGAAATTTCAGGGAGACACATCATTAGGAAAGGCGATGGTGATATTTTTTACACAAAAGGCATTGGTCGCCTTAGAAGAAACTGTGAATGGTGATTACTATGCAAATACAGAGTGGGGTGCAGAAACTTCCTTTTTGTGAAGGGAGGGGAGGTTGCAGAAAAGTGGGGATAGGCTCAGCGAACACAGCAGTCACAGAAGTTTCTGTCTAATACCCTTCAGTAGGAAACATGAGGTGGATGAGTGAGCAGCGTGCATTTGCTGTCGAAGCCTATTTTTTGAACAACCATTCCTACATGGCAGTACAGCGTGCGTTCTGTACTCACTTCAGAATGAAGCCCAGAGGTTAGGTTCCCGACCAGAAATCGATTGTTTTGTGGGTAGAGAACTTTAGGACAACCAGGAGTGTGGTGAAAAAATCATCAGGACGACAACGGACCGTTATGATGCCAGAAAATGTGGAGGCAGTTTGACAGTCGACTTTGAGATCTCCAAGACGCTCCGCTCGCAAACATGCAGTCACCCTAGACATATCCAATCGTTCAATGTGCCGAATTCTTCACGAACATCTTCATTTCCATCCCTATAAGATGGTTGTTGTGCAAGAATTTTCACCACGTGATTTCCAGAACCGAATAACGGCGTGCGAAACGTTATTGGACTTGTTTTCTTTAGTGATGAGGCACATTTTCAACTACCCTGATATGTCAACAAGCAGAATATGCACTATTCGAGTGGTAACAATCCCAGAGAGCTCCATGAGAGGCAACTTCACAGTGATAAGGTGACAGTATGGTGTGCGTTGTTGAGGGTTGGAGTTATTGGCCTTCATTTTTTTGAAGAAGACAATCATGCAGTTACTGTCAATTCACAGCAGTATGTGGATATGATTAAAAACTTTTTTGAACCGGCTCTTGAAGAAATGCATCTAGGAAATATCTGGTTCCAACAGGATGGTGCAATGGCCCACACAGCCCAAGCTTCGATGACAGTTTTGAGGGCAAAGTTCCCCAGATGGCTCATCTCACTTCGAGGTGACATCCTGTGGGCAGCGCACTCACCTGATCTAACGTCCTGTGATTTTTTTATGGGGATACCTCAAGGCAGAGGTTTTTAAACATCACCCCACAAACCTGCTTCAGCTGAAGAATGTTATTCGGCAGGAAGTAACCCAAATTCTGGTGCACATGCTGGAACGTGCAGAGGGGAACTTCAGAAAACGGTTGCATCAGTGCATAGAGAACAGTGGCCACCACCTTCAAGATATTTTGTTTAAAACTACATGATTTAAAACTTTAAAGTATGTTCTTTCATTAGCTAAACATTAATTTTGTCTATCAGCAATAATTTTTCTTTTATTCGCCTTCAAAAAAGGAAGTTTCTGCGCCCCACCCTGTGCTATTTAGAAGAAGAAGAAAAAAGACCAGAATTCATGACAAAACAGTAGTTTCTGCTTCAAGACAATGCATGGCTGCATACAGGCACTAGTAGACATTGGTGGAACACCTGTACAACACCCACCTTACAGTCCAGATCTTGACCCATGTGATTCTTTTTGGGCATTTTCAACATTTAAACATGAGTTACAAAGCCAGAAATATTGCACTGACACTGAGAGAAACAAGCCATCATAACTACCTTATGCAATACGTCTGAAAATGGCCTACTGCACATGTCTGAGAAGAGTGTGGGATGCTGCAAAGAATGCACAGCATTCAGAAATATTTAAAAAATAAACTGTCCAAGACTTGGGAATTCTCAGTGAGTAACATGAGTATTTTCATTACTTTTAAAACTCCCCTCATATTGACATGCCAGTTCTTATTTTACTGAGGAGATTCTGAATAATGATTCTGCAGGGAACTTAAATGCTGGGAAACTTCTAAATTTCTTCATAATTTCTTAGCTGACTTAAGTTTCATATAATGTTTTTATAAAACACTTGGTGCTCTAGCATAAACATTTCTGTGTCCAACATGAAGAGAACCTTGCAAGAACTGCAAAAAAGCAATTGAAACTACAGCTTTACAGAATCACAGCTGTGAACTCCCTGCTACATATCACCCAGCAATTTATGTAACTGCTTTTTTCAGCCGACTCATGGTGGCAAGCTTGTTCCCAAGACATTTCTTTTCAAGATTCATTTGAACACAAGAATACACAATGTTAACAGACTTGCACACAATTCTACTCTCTCATGTAAAAGTTTGTGCTTGATACACCCACAGCAAGAGTAAGATTTTAAAGACCCTCTGTTTTATGTAGATACAGTTAATTCTGGGAGATGCTCGTATAACAAGAAGATACTGAAATGAAGTGACCCAGTAAGTTTCTTTCACTCTATGTTATGGCTGCAGATCACCAAGGAAGAAAGCAGCAACCCACATGGCCACCAAATTTTCTCCTTGTGTACGGCAAAGTACAAATTATCAATGCACGTTATGATGTCTTATGTTCATGTATGGTTTATTTAACGAACACAAGTTTAACTTTAAACCAAAAAGTATTTTCTGTACAACCTGATATCCAAAGCACAGTTCTCAAAAAAACTGTTTAAATTTCATTTTGTTATGGATAATATTCTGATCACAAACTTCGGTGCATAAGTGTTCAACTGCATATTTAATTGTTCTTTCAAAGGGCTATCTGCTACTAGTTTTTATTTCTGTACCAATCATTGGGCCGTGTTCAAACGAAGTGACACTTCATGAGGTATTGTGCCTAAAAAGTAAAACTTCATGGAATCATAACTTACATTTTTACCTGCTACATGGTTAATAAATAATTAACAGAACAATACATACAGGTTTATTTAATGAGCCAATAAAATAACAATGTCAGCTAAAACTAATATGAATATAACAGTTGTAAAATTTTATGTGATAACAAGTACATACACATGAATTGCCAAACAATGTCCAGTGAACTTACATCTGGCAGTGATGCATCTGGTGTACTGCACATCACTGAAATGGAGATGAATGATTTCAGTGAAGCTACTAATTGTTCAGCAGATGACAGTTCTTACATATTACCCACTGTCACACTTCACAGAGATAAATTATCTAACAAGTGAAAGAAAAGGAACAAACTTACTCAAACCAACCCAATAAAAAATTATATTAAAATCACACACACATATGCACACATACACACACGCTGTCCTACAACATGTGGCAGAACTACGTTCTGACACTTGATCTGTAAAGTAGTATAACAGGCTAACTTCAGCACAATTTAATTAGAGAAACAGAACTGTTTCAGTAAGTAAACATATTTGTCTTAGGATATAATTGCATAACAGCTATTACAGATTATGAAATTTACAAGTATTTACATTCTGGCACCTCTTCTCCCTATGGAGAAATTACTGAATCTACCTCAAACTTCATGAATTATCATGTAAATAAGAGCAGTATACAGCATACAGCAATTGCCCCTTTTGTATGAAATCATTTACTTTTAACATCAGTTCCACTACACAGATGTAATAAGCAACATAAAATCAAATTTAACAAACAAATGCAACTTCAGTCAGAATTACTCAAAGGAAGAATGTAAGGAAAAAATATTGTGACGTGGATGGTGCAACAGGAAGTAGGGGTCATGTGAACTCTGCGTTTTTGCGAGTGACGTCACATACCCCCACTCCTTCCATTATTATGCAATGCTCGGTAAACACCCCCCCCTTCCCCCTGCTGTGACATAACAGTAGAGCAGCTGTGTCAGGCAACCAGTGTCACGGTGATGTAACCGCATAGGAGCTGCTGCTATAGTAACAGGGCCAGTAAACACTCTGCCCCCTCCCCCCCCATGGTGAAATAACAGCACTTCCCACAGTGACATAACAGGAGACACTGCGGTTACTACGTGGCAACAGGGAACAGTATAAGAGGCCGGCGGAGCAGCGTGTGAGGCAGAGTGCAGATTGTGAAGCCAGACAGATGAGGTGAAGTCCAGCAGCCATGAGTTGTATCAAGTGAATGGAAGTGACTACAGCAGGAGAAGTAATTGTAATACTGCAGATGACAGTAATCGTGAATTGTGTAAATGTAAGAGCGAATGTGGAATAAATTCACTACATCCAAGATGGCATGAAGTTATTCGTTGCGTGACACACACCCAACATGTGACAATATAATAAGTTGGACAAATATGAAATGAGGATTATGTATGACAATAAAGGCCAATAGACATGACGACTGATGACAAAAGAACATATTTCAACACTACTTCCTCCTTGGGTTCTATACTCTTCACTGAAATGTATTGGCAACTTTCATAATAGTCAGAACTTTCTCACAGAAGGGTTTCTGTTACATGGCTGACAATTGCTCCTGTGGTAATTTAAATATTGTGGTGGGAAATGAGTTGGGGGGGGGGTGCACTGTCTGCTCTGTGCTTCATTGAACTGAACTGGTTGAGCCGAATCTTTGGGGCATTTATTGAGAGTTTGTGGAGGACTCCAGCTTTTCGTGTCAGCTGAGTGGCTTTTTCAAACATACAAGTGAGCAGGACAAGCAAAAGCACCTGCTTCCATGGCAGTATTAAAATTAGTTAAATTAATACAAACTGATTTTAACAAACATAACCCCCCCAAAAAAAAACTGGAGATGGTCAAGGAAAGAAGTATTCAGCAGGGCAATGTAGGATTTGTGCTGTACACAAAAAGCATGCTGAGATGACAAATATGAAAATTCTGCCACATTCCACTGCATAAAGGTTTTGACAGATTCTATTCTGTGAAGACCTACTGAACACCCTACAAGCAGTCTCTACACAATTCAGCTCCAAAGCACCACCTGCAACTTTGGAATTTAAGTAAAGTTGTTTCCTGCCTCAAGGAATTAAATGTATGCAAAATATAAAAAATTGTTTTTTTTTAAATAAAGAACATACTAGTCGACAATATATTAACTGTACTGTATTTTCTGGTATGTAAGCCCGGTGTTTTTCCTTGAACACAGACCAAAAAAAATTAGGAAAAAAGAAAACTCTTCTTTCCTTCCTTGCATCTTATATTGCATATGAGGATCACAGTATATAGTAGCTGCCTACACTACTTACTTAACAATAGAAAAAGACTGCCAACAGTGTCAAGATTAATTCACTGTCATTATACTGTACCACTATGACATTGTGGTCTGTTTCATTTTACTGTTAAGTAACTGCCATGTGACTGGCCACTACGAGTACATACTGTGATTCTTTAACACAACAGGATGAAAAGAATGAAGGAAAGAAATATATGAGGACCTACTGCATTTTGCTTTTCTTTTTGGTTTTATAAAAATTAATATAAGCTTTAAAATGTGAGAAATTCTCAATTGCTGACTCAGTAGCATTAACAAATGTGATGAAACACAGCATATGTGTATAAATTAGATGTCAGTTTCAATGTCACAGGAAAATGCTTGGGTTTCAAGCAATAATGAATGATGTCTATGTCTAAGCACATGGTTCAAATAGAGAAGGCTGAGCAGCAGCCACTAGAAGAAAGATCACTTTGATTTCTAAACTCAGAAAATAAGATTATCTCAAACATAAATACAAATATGTTTCACTGCATAATTTAGAAGACTTTCTCCTCTATTCAAGTATTTAGCTCCAACAAGAACTTTATACAGGTACATTTTTACACACTGTATCAATTACTGTCCTGCAGGGCATTTATGTATTAACATACACAGAGGAAGAATTTTTAAATATTCACAATCTGTTTTTATTTGTGGAAGGGCCTCTAAGAACCAAGATGATAGTCAAAGTCAAGGTTACTTTACAACTGGCAGTTTACTGTCAATCTGTTTGTCTTGGCACCAAGCCCCTTGAGGATGACGACCAGAAATTCTTTTTTCAACTTAACCATTGCAGTCATAGTCCTTATGTAAAATCCTCTCTGATGAGAAGATTGCTTTGTCTCTTGTGAACATGCTTGGTCTTTTGTCAAGTGTTAAGTATCACACATATAGCACATTACTGAAAATTCTTCCTTTTGCACTACATACAAGTCCTCTGTCAGTACAGGCTTTGCAAATCAGATCATGTCTATCTTACTTAACTCATGCTACAACAGCAGCTTAGTCACTTGAATGGTCATAAGCTAAGATGATATTGTATATCACCTTGAATATGCAGGATGGAAGCAGCTGAAAACTCTCCTCCATGCACTGCTCAATTATTATCTGTATCACATTTAATGGTATATTGGACATTGGACAGAGGGGTTTCTGCAATGTAATTGTGCTTACATCTGCTCCAAATGGACACTAATAAATTAAACATTTCCACTGACCTATATACTTACACTGAGCACCATCTTCTGTAACTATAACCATACAATTTAATTAAAAAAGTGTGATAATATAAATTACACCAGCATAGCTTTAATGAAACACTCTACTGCTGAAACACAACACCAAGGGACCATGATTTTCAGAAAGCAGTAAGGTGGTGAAATATCAACATTTTCTGACATGCTGTATGATATGACATGAAAAGTAAGTCTTCTCAATTCTGTTAGACTTCATGTAAGATATTTAAATGTCAAATGGATTCCACTATACTGTATGCAAGGAAACCAACTGAATTTCTTATGAAAGGAGCCCATTCTTTACTGGTTAAAAAGGTATACATAAGAAATTAATCCTGTCTGTTTTAAAAAGTTAAGTTATTTATAGCTGTATCTTGGTGATTTGCAAGCAAAGGCAAATAGACAATGAAACACAAGTAAAAGACAATAAGAAATTTGTACAAGACAGTAATCTTAATAATAATCTTAACAACAATAATCATATACTTAATACTCCTCACAACTTGAATATCATTCCACATAACAGCATCTTTGCAAGACTAAAAAATATATACTCATATGGTGAGTGCCCAGGGACATAAGGGAAAAAATGGAAAAGGTTTTTTAACTTTTTGAAAACTTACGTGAGCTGCAAGGATACATATGCTCATTTCTTGGGAGGGGCAACATTGCCAAGAGCTGAGATGATCTGGCAATAAATGTCAATGCCTTTCAGGAACACATCTTCATTGAGATATTCATCATGATCATGAAGCAGTACTGGAGTCTTAATCATTGGAGAGAAGCCGAAAGCTGGTAAACCAACCTAAAATTTCAAATCACTTTGAAAACCAAGTTTATGTGCCATTTTGTAATCCAAATATATATGATGCAAGTGAAATAGTATTCATAAATACCACATTGTGTGTGCAAAGCACATTATTCTCTTTAACCCGTAATGTATATAACATCATAAGTAAGGCATCCCATCCTGTAAGAAAATAAGCTAGGAAACTTACATTACTGTGGTACAAGTTCATTTACTGGCACCAAGACTGACCTTATGGCAAATGGTGGTTGGTTTAAAAACTGCAGGATTCATGCAAATCTTCGAAATATTTGTTTGATTTGAAAGCAGTCGCTGTAGATAAAATTCTAGCAGTAAGTTTTCCAGCCGAACTCACAATAACCTAAAAGGATGGTGGATATTCTTCCATACAAGTTCTTAATGCTGATGAGATTTCTTGTATTGGAAGATGATGACATCCTCTTGAAGGTGAAAAACACCTCTCATTACAAAGCTGCAAAAGATCAACTTACTCTTCTCTAATTCTAATTTATTTTATATTCCATAAGATCTTTAATGGCAACGTAGCTGATGTCAAATTGAAATGTCTCTTGGTATGTCATTCAGAGAATTCTAAATCACTGAAGGGATACACAAAATCCCAACACCCTTTGTTTTGGTGACCCCCCACAACAGGGTCCAATTTGTTTTGGACAATCTGCTTCACCATCCCATTAATTAATACTGAAGACATGGCTGACAAGGTCAAAGAGTTCTGTCTTCTGGGATGTAATCAAATGTAGTCTGGTGAAAGTCAATTTGGCGATATATCCCAGCAGAGAGAACTCTTCATAGTCAAAAGTCAGATCAAACAATACAAAGTTTTTTTTTGTGCCACTAAACACAACCATTCTGTTGAAACTAATGGACCAAGAAGTGACACAGACACCCATGACCTATTACTTAAACGGAACCATGCAGCAGCAGTTCATCATGACAGATGACAAGGACCTGCCATAACAGTTCACAGTTCTGGTGGGGTTACAATAACCAAAAATGCCACAGACAAGGTGGGGGGTATCATAGGAGGAAGTTACTCAGTAAATGGGGTGTGTGGCAGAATATATGGCCACAGCGCATATAGGAATTTTTAACTGTTCCCAAGATTCAACTGTAAATGGCGGAACTGGCAAAGGAGATAAGTTCACCAAATAACCTGGAGGAGATGCTGGAATCACAAGGCGAACTGGCCTGAGGATCTGATTGAGTTGGAACAAAAAAGGGTAAGACAGCAGGGGGAAAAGAGGAAGAAAATGCAGCCAACAGTGCAAGTAAAACAGCTGGCAGTGAAAAGGATGTCTGCAGCCTTTAGTTTCTTTGAGATGGCAATGGTCACTCAATGAAGATGACCCAAACATGGGATGAAGTGGCAAGTGTAGCTGAAGATTAAGTGATCTGTGCTGCTGTAATGAACTGTATTCAGAAAAGAATGTATGTTCAAAAAGACATATCTTTTGCAGTTTAAGCATCAATATGTTTTAATTAATAAGTGATTAATGTTTATATACATATAAACATATTTTATTATTCTTCCATTTTTAATATTGTTTTGTTTAATTCTTGTTTCTAATAAGTACTTAAGTTAGGTTTGTAAGTGCAAAAAATTTATCCAAAAAATGTATTTTCCCTTTATAACATATAAATATTTGCGAGAAACATGTCTGATTTCTATCACTTCGATACACAGCACCATTTATAGAGACAAATCCCTCACATAAATTTAAACTGCCTGTAATTCAATTAATTTATTGTTGTGCTTTACAACAGATAAAAATAAATTACAGGCAGGTAGTAAAGAAAGAAAAACACATTAATATGAAAGATGCAAACAGACATGAAGATAGATGATGAGAAAGCATACAGAGAACACAATACTAAAATATAAATAACATAAATAACATTCAGGGTATGAACAAAAGACTCAAAATATTATTACAAGTATTATTAGCAGATACGATAATAACAGTTAAACAAAATAACTCCATGTTCAAAATATCGATATACCTGCAAGTAACATTTATTACTGGAACACATCTGGTTCAAGGATGAACCTTTGCATAGTGATGAATACCAGAAGTTGAAAAGTCTCTGAATGACCTAGTAGGTACATGTAAACTAACAGCAGCAAGAACAGATGAGTAACTAAGGTTGCTTTTAAAAACACAAATGTGAAATAAAGCGTTAAGGAATCACCACCTGGACTGGAATGCTGGAAATTTAATATAATATTCAATCCTATCTATTATCACAAATGCCAATATGAAATATACAACACAAGGCTGTAAACTTTATTTCAATTTTCGACTGCTAGCACCATTTGTCTGTATGTCTTCACATTTTTTTTTCATTTCTTTGCATTGCTGCTCATGCACTTGGTTTTGTTGGTTAGGTTTGCAGCACAAATTTCTACCTCCTTTTCTATCCTAGTTCCACACCTGTGCATGCTCTCTGACAATTTTTATTGCATATATTCTTGCTCCCCTTCATTGGTGTCTCCACCTTATCGTGGTGAGGGGGTTTGAGTATGCCAAGGACCCTGAGAGCTATACCAGCGGTAGCGTAGCTACTGGCAGGGCCTCCCTTGCTGGACAGGTCAAAGGGTAGACACCAGATGAAGAGAGACACCAAAAACCAAAAACTGATGCCAGAAGCAGCATCATCAGGTGCGAGTTCAAGTTCGTATAGCAACAGGCGTGACCAGAGTGGTTTGAACGGCTGTTGTACTGCGATGTGGAAAGCAAATGGAAAAACTACCACATTATCACTTTTCCTGGATAGTCTCTTTACAAAAACAGAGATACCATGTATGCAAGATGTTTCCTCTGGAGACAAAAGAAACCGGAGGGGGTTAACAGAAGTGACTAGAAGACGAGGAAGAAGACGTAAGAAGATGCTGGATGACCTTGGGGACAGAAGAGGATACTGTTATTTGAAGGAGAAAGTTTGTGATCGCATTAAGTGGAGGAACTGTTTTGGAAGAGACTGTGGACCTGTCGTCTGACAGATTACTGATGAATGAATGAACATTCTTGCTATATTCCACTGAACTAGCCTGGTCTCAGGTGATTAAATAGCTGTGTGAATCTGACAGGGGTTGTCCAGTGATTGAGGTTACATTTTTCTACAGGATCCGACAGATTACTGATGAATGAATGAATATTCTTGCTATATCCCACTGAACTAGCCTGGTCTCAGGTGATTAAATAGCTGTGTGAATCTGACAGGGGTTGTCCAGTGATTGAGGTTACATTTTTCTACAGGACCCGACAGAGTAGGTGTCTCCCCTCCCCGCCTGAGGACAGAAACAGATCCAGTTTCCATAACATTGTTTTTTCTGGTCTCTAGAATACTGGCCGATGAAAAAAGTCCAAAAATTCAGTAATTCTGAGCGTTAACACAGGTAACCAAATTAACCAAAGTGGAACTAAGTTTACAGAAACTATGCTGAGAAGGATTACATTTACATCTGATGACATAAGATAAACAACCACAAAAGATAAATTCAAATTTTTGAAAATTCTATCACAGTAAACACACACTGATGAAAGTTTAGGATGCTTTATAGCCTTACAAACTACAACAGCAGAAATAGGAGCTGTGTGTAAGATATCTGAAGTAACAAAATAAGAAGCAATGCCAGAGAAATTATATTAAAAATGGATTCAAAATCATCAGCAAAAGAATTGACTGTTAAGTTAAAACATATTTCCCAAAATGACTAAATTGAGTTTTAGTGCTGCATATCACAAGTATCAGTGATTTTGACAAATTGATCAAAACATGGGAAGGGGACTCAATGCATGTCAATTTTGTTTTCTTAGAGCAAAAAAAATAGTGAACCTTTTTATTGATGTGATATTTCACAGTGATGGAAAATTTGCCTTGGAACTTTGACTTCTTAGTACAGCTTGATTTAAGGCATCAGTAATGACTGAAGTCTAATGATTAGCAGCAGCATTAGCAGTAAGAGCAGTAAAAGTGGTTACACCTTCCCCATACACCATAATAAGTTGACACTAAATCTCAAGCAGATAAACATTTGTGCATTCAAAAACTGAGTTACAGCTTGCATTTCACAATCAGCAGGATTCTCAAATTTCTTACTCATTTTTAAATATACTACAAAAAATCACAAAACAAAAGAATCAGGGCATCATTCACTTGGCTTGTTACTAAAAGACAACTTGGGCCTGTTAACCTTGAAATGGTATATTGCACTGACCTGTACAAGAACATTACAACACCCGCAGCCAAAAAGGGAACACACATCACGAGACACGACATACATGGAGTGTAAGAGGAACGACTCCCATATGGAGGAACCATGCGTGGGTTTGAATTGGGACAGATAAGAGAATATCTTAACAAGATTTTAGTGTATAAAAATTTATTATAATTGATGAATATTTTTAAATATATTTTTTTTTTTTAATTTTACAATTACATAATGGCAAGCAATGCAATATATTAACGTAAATGGAGCACCTGATGATGGCACTATGTTGCCGAAACATGTTGTGAAATAACAGGTGAAATTGAGTGCACTACAACTCAGACACGGCATACATATCATGGACGAAAATCAGTGCAACAGGACGCTAAAATACAACATTATGTACAAGAACTATGTGCAAACAGTCCTTACTTTCTGGACAAACCTCATACTAGGTAAGCTACGTGAATTACAATATACAGTGACAAGTATTCTACTGTTTAATCTAAAACCACATAGTCCGGTAGTTCCACTGGACTATAAAGCATCGCATCCAGGGATTAAAAAAGCTGCTGCATGTCACTTCCTGCACTGATGTGTGATTTGTGTGGTACTTTATATCAGGCAACAGAGAAGATGCAAGGATAACTAAATAACTGCAATAACAGCTGTGGAACATCTAAAGATGGTGGAGAAAGAAATTACACACATATATTTGAGAAATACCCTAAAAGTGGGGTAGAAAAGGACAGGATACGTATGCTTTACGAATTCTGTAAAGAACTCCTTGTTAGATGCATAGTTCACTCCAAATGCTCAAAATATCTAATTCTGGACTTACCCTTCTTACATAACGGCTATCTGTGCCACCTGGAAATATTGCAGGTTTCAATTCCAGGTTCCTAAAAGAGATGAAACACAGAATAAAAACAAGCAGACATACCCTTGAGGATGGTATTAAAAGGGTGTGCTTTATTTTTGCATAATTCCTACATGCTGTCTGGGTGTATATAAAATGTGTCATAAATTATCAAGTGGATACTGGACACAATGAACACTGCTGTTATAATGAACTGCATGGAGCACAGTCCTTAGGAGCAATAGTGGCTAAACTAGTCACGAAATTCCTTCCCTTTTATGGAAATTGAAAGCTTGCTATTCTGAGTCAGGTGAATAGTCTGTGACCTTTACATGAATACTATATACAAGTGAAAATGTCCGTTCTTCACCCTACCTTCTCTTAAAATAAATGGCGCTGAGACTGGTTATTCATTATAATGCTGAAAAACCCCAATGACAAAAAAAAGTTACCAGAATCTTACAAATAAAGTTACTGGAAACTTATGGACAATTGCCGCTGACTATCACAAATTAACAGTTACTGCTTTACAAATACACATTCCTGTTGACCCTGTTGATTGTTGTTTTATTTTCACCATGGAACTATACACAGATAATTTGACATATTAAATGACTGGCATGTAAACAGTTAGGGACTCACATTGCTTATGAATAAGCATTAAATGGTTTCCAAGCAACAAAACAGCAGTAGGCATATATATCTTATTGCATTATAATAAATTAGTTATGGGGCATGCAGTTGCATAGCTGGTTCAGGCACTATGCTACAAGCTGGAAGGTTGCAGGTTCAATTTCTGATTGGGGTCATTAGATTCTTCAATTGATGTAATCCTTTCGGCCACATTATGGCCCTGGGATTGACTCAGCCTCTTCTATATTTCAGAAGAGAGGCATGGATGCCTACAACATTTTATTATTATTATTATTATTATTATTATTATTATTATTATTGGAGGGGGTGGGTTTCCCCATGCACCACGACCACTTTGATCTATTGTACGTCCCCCTGTGATATTCTACCAGTCTCTATACCCTACCAGTACTGGTGCGTGCCATCAGTCCCGACTCAGCCAGCGAGTTCGGCCTCTACTGGCTCAGCGGTATCTAGATGTTTCCCACATCTACCAGAGACGTTAGAGACTATTGTTGGGCAGGAAATGTCCTTACAAATTTGGCTCAGAGGTCTCCTTGAGACAGGAGGTTCTCTTATGTGCCATAAAGCTACGACACGGGACCCACGGCTTAAAAGTCCCTCCTGGAGGACTTGTTCCCTGAATTTTTCCGCCCTTAAAAATTCCACGACCTTCAGTGGGTTTGAACCCGCGTACCTTGAGTCATGAGGTGGGAACGTTACCCCTAGACTACGGAGGCCGCTTATGCCTACAACATTTATCCAAGACATTTCTCTCAGATGGATACATACAGCTATATATCCAAACGTGTTTATGGACTGTTAGTAATTTGGGAAACCAAATAATCAGAGCAAATGAACCTTATGCTGTGTTGTATATTGCATTCGATCAAGATTTGTCAAAGAACTCAAAATGTGGACTTACATATCATCACAAGCTCTCTTGAAAGCAAGCCACCATGGGTTGGAACTGTCTAGTTTGGTCACCTGAACTTTTGGTTCCTTCTGTTCAAACTCAACATATGTGCCAGGCCCAGCTTTAGAACACCAGCTGTTTACCATAGTTTCAAACTCTGCATGATCCACTGTTACAGCAAGTCGTATATCAAACACGACCACCAATTCTGGTGGAACAACGTTTGACTGAACACCACCCTGTGAAAGAAAAAATTACAAGGATCCTTAAGCTGTTATTCCACGTCAGCCTTCAGCTGAAGGGAAAAAAAATTTGGAACAGCCTGTTCAATGTTTGAAGTAAGTCAGCCCCTCTCACATAACCCTTGGTTGTTCCTGGGATAGCACTGTTGACTTATTGAAACACTCTGGATATCAATCAACACAATATTCCATATATAAAATTTGCAAATTTTATGTGAGTTGTGACAACATGCAGTCCTGTGAGTGATTACTAGTTTTCTGAGGTACCTACCCTGTAGCATAGGGGACAAGTTCCCTCTGCAACATGAGTAACCACCTATAATAATACATGGCATCACAATTCAGAAGACCATGACCTAAAGAATTTCCATATTAAGACAAAATCAATGTAAATCATTAAAAAAAATTAAATGAAAGCAAAATATGTAAAAAAGATAAGACTTGTCAATTAAAGTGTCACAGAGTTATAGTGACAAGCAGGCTCTGGATTAATTAAACTTCCACACTCTGACATGTCAATTTGTTGCACTTAACTCACCATTCTTCCTGATCAGTGCAGACATGAAACAAAGATGCAGCAGTTATCAGATTTAATTTCTATGTTTGGTAAAAGTAAAGTAAAGCTATCCAAGTAACAGGCCGTGAAGGCCCATAGGATTGTGAAACGTTGAGGGTCCCACATTATCTAGACAATCGGCTCAAAGATGGCGATAAGGTTGTCAGCCTTATGCACCGGCTGCGCTTTACTTCCCAGGAAAATTATTTAATTAATTCCCGGTACTCATTTCTGTTAGAGGCTGAGTCAACCCCAGGGCCATAGTGCGGCCAGAAGGATTAGGTTAACTGAAAAAATCAAATGACCTCATCAGGACTTGAACCCATGACCTTCCGGCTTGTAGCATAGTGCTTCAACCAACTACACTACCGCGTGCCCTCTATGTTTGGTACATTCTTATAATTTGAGCTGAAGATTGCAAATCTATCAAATAATCACAAATTCTTACATTCAAATTTATCTTGGTATAGTGGAGAAAGTTCTTCAGTTCACAGTGTAGCATTTTGTTTATTTCATTCTACTTGAAAATATTAAAAAGTAAATGTAAAACTGTCTGTATGCCTAGGCACCATCATTAAATAAATTAAGCTCAGCCTGCTACATGATAAGGAACATAAAACCACTTATGTCTATAAATACCTTGAAAATTATTTATTATTCTTACTTCCATTCAGTCATGACTTATGGCTTGATTCACTGGGAAAACTCATGACATGCTGACATGGTTCTTAAAAGGCAGAAAAGAGTTATACGACTGATGATGGGTCGTGGTTACAGGGAATCATGTAGAGATCTCTTCGAGGGAATAAATATTCTGCTTTTAAAATCACAGTATATATATTCATTAATGATGTTTGTAATAAAAAAACAGAGATAAATTTGTTACAAATATGGATTATTATGAAGTTAAAAACAGACAAAATATTAATTTACATATATACGATGTTAACTTGGCCATATATGGTAAAGGAGTATATCACATGACAGTAAAGGTTTTTAATTGACTTCCTTTCAACCTCGAAGAAAACTCTAATAATCCAAAAAAGTTTAAAGTTAATTTAAAGGACTTTCTGTATTCAAATTCTTTCTATACACTGGAGGAATTCTTTAAAAGATGATTGTATTATATCTGCAACAATTGGGTATTACTGATTATACTGTTATATTGGGATGATTTTACAGATATGTACATATCTATATTTGATGGAATGTATTTGTAGTTATTGCTCTGCTGCTGTTTAATAGGTTTTTATTACTAGAGTACTATAATGTTCATATTACAATGACTTAAGAATTGTTTCAGTTATATTGGGTGGTGTGCATGTTTAGGCTTACTTTGTTGTGTACTTGCTGATGTGTATGACTATATGTAGGGTGTACTGCTTTGTTTGTGACTATTTCCACATTCTATGAAATTGTTTTCTGTATAGATTTACGGGAAATGAATAAATGAATGAATGAATAGCACCCTGCCATGAAGGTGTATTATTCTGCATCATCATTAGGAAAAGCTAAACAACGCACCGTCCTATTCCTGAGGAAAGAGTCATCAGTACCTGTTGGGGAGAAATTCGAATGGGCACGAAAGCCATTCTGGATAAGATGCAAAAGTATTATAAACATTATTATATTAAGATTATTAATACACAATATCATAACATTCAGCAAAACAAATCCAAGAAATTTAAAGTGTACCTTTCCTTTTCCTGGTAGATTTTATTTGGTAGATATTACAACCAAAGCCATGTGATAAGCTGTACTGCATTGGATTTTCATTGTAACATTTTACTATAAAATTCAAAGGTAAAAAAAATTATTTTATTTTAGAACAGAATTCAAATGCCCATTTTTTTGTTCTGAATGCTTGGCTTAGAATTTTCTGACTAGGCTTCATAGCTTAAAACACTGAAGCTATGTTCAGCTAAAAGAATTCTCATTCTCACCTTAAGTTGCGTCAGGTTTACAGTGGTGACATCTCCAATGGTCAGGCTTGGATTCGATACCAATTTCTTCCTCTCCTGCTCTCGGAAATCCATCAAATGATCTATAATGATACGAACTTTCTCTCCAGCTGTATCAGGTAGTAGCAAAGACCCATGACCTGGAGAACCCGGGCAGTGAACAAACAAATCTGCCGATTTAAAAGCACAGGATCAATCATTCTTTACAAAATCAAATTTGAAAATAAATGTTAAATATTTTGTCTTTAATTAAGTAGGGCAAAGCTGTTCATGCGCTAATTAATTAAGCACCACAATGTGAAGATGCATGTGGGAGTGCAGGTACAGCTCCACCATTCTTGACCTTGACATTAGATGCAGGAAAGCAGTAGTTCCATGGCCTGAGCACTTTACTCCCAGGGAAGGAGCCCCTGACACCCATGCTCCAGATGCTGTTGAGAAAAAAAATCTCTTACCCTGCCAGGAATCGAACTAGGACCATTCAACCTGTAGACATCTTTATACTTATTGTGCTATCCCAGCTCTACTTTTTAATTAAGTTCACAACTTTAAAGACCTTACAAGTTTTGTTCAATACTGGTAAAGTCTCAGCCCCTGACAACACAGATCAAAAGTATGTATATTAACAGCATAGAATAAAGATGTATGTTCAATGGCTTAAGAAATCCAGCAACTTCATAAGTAATCTTTCTTCTTTTCATACCATGGGGTTCACCATGAAATATTAAGATACCACCTGCTACCACTCTGTTTATGCTGTGTTGTGTACAACACATATACGTGGTGTGTTCAAAAAGTATCGAACCTTTGGTCGGCAGAAATATATTTATTGATTTGGAGGTACAAAACCCTAATCCCCTTCAAAGTAGTCTTCTTGGTAATGCACACATTTCTCCCAGCGCTTCCGCCATTGTTGGAAACACTTCTGGAACGCGTCTTTTTGGAATGGTGATCAGCCAGGCCGTTGCATTCTGCATGTCTTCTCTTGACTCAAATCGGGTTCCTTTTAGCGGCATTTTCACCTTGGGAAATAGCCAAAAGTCACACGGAGCCATGTCCGGGGAGCAGGAGCTTGATGAACCACAGGGATGTTGTGTTTGGCGACGAAAGTCTGAATCAGATGCGCAGAATGGGCGGGTGCGTTATCATGATGGAGCTGCCAAGTTTTTGCTGCCCACAGATCCAGTCGTTTGCGCCGCACAACATCATGAAGGAGATGAAGGACCTCCTGGTAGTATTTCTTTGTGATGGTTTGGCCTTGTGGTGCATACTCATAATACACAACCCCACGGGAGTCGTAGAAAACGGCCAACATTACCTTGACATTGCTGCAGATCTGCAGTGCTTTTTTTTGGCCTCGGAGATGTTGGATGTTTCCACTGTGACGACTGCATCTTGGTTTCTGGGTTGTACCCATAAACCCACGACTCATCGCCTGTGATCACGGTGTTCAGAAAGTTGGGGTTACTGTTTGCATTATCCAGCATGTCCTGTGAGATTTCCAGACGGCGTTGCTTCTGCTCCACTGTTAGCAGTTTCGGTACGAATTTCTCGGACACTCTCCTCATGCCCAAATCCTCGGTCAAAATTGAATGTACCGATCCAATGCTTACCTCTATCTCATTCGCAAGTTCTTGGACTGTGATATGACGGTCCTCCATGAACAAAGTCCGCACTTGCTCAATGACATTCTCATTTCAGCTTGTTGAGGGTCTGCCTGAACGTGGTTTGCTGTCCACTGATGTGCGGCCATCTTTGAAGCGGTTGTACCACTCCTTTATCCGTGAGTTGCTCATGGCATCGTCCCCAAAAGCCTGTTGAATCTTGTGAACGGTTTCCACTTGGGTATCGCCAAGCTTTTGGCAAAATTTTATGCAATATCGCTGCTCATATTGTTCTGTCATTTTACAACTTACTGGAATCCGACGAGCGCTCACTACACATCCTCACTCATAGGCCGACTGCCAGCAACTGACACTTTCTGCAGGTGGGAAAAAATTCACGACTGCACATGAATGTCCCCTCCACATCTCCACCGAAGGGAGCCTCCCTCGCTTCACTGGTTTACACGGGAAAAAAGGTTTGATACTTTTTGAACACACCACGTATTTCAAGTAGTATGTAACTTCTATTTAAAGACTGTCACCTATAAATATACCAGGAATATCATTTTGCCTATCAGTTCATACACCGTAATCCTTTTTCTGAGTTAGTGAAATGATATTCTTATGCCCCCCCCCAAATTATTCCTATTATGAAGGGAAAACACAGATTAAAAATCCACATACGTTACTGAATAGGCCTATATCAAGCCTCAAGACTATTCATAAGTACCAAGAATTTTGAATTAAAAAGTTCATACTTACGCCAGATACTCCGTTCTCCATAAAAAAGCAGAAACTGTTCAGACGGATCTGCCATGCCTTCATCAAGAGCAAAGCCAACGTTCAACTCAAGGAAGTCAGAGGTGTTAACAAATTTAGCCATACCATCCTTTCCACCAATTTCCTCATCTGAAACACCAAACCATGATACTCAAATCATTATACACTTTCGTTATTACTGTTGTTGTTGTTGTTGTTGGTGCTGCTGCTACTGTCATCATCATGGTCCTCACAGTCATTGTGGCTGATGCTGTTTACTCTTCCAGTAAAAATCATCCTGCTCAATGCACTTCAGCTGTTGATGTTAGACAGATGTTGACATATTTGAAACAAAAACCGTTTCTATTAATCGTATTTTATAATTTGTACTTTTTAATATTTAATTATTAAATATTAACTGTACTCAGGATTATGTCTTCTCACTGCATCATGGTCAGTACATTTGCACTAACTGAATGGTTACTGTCTAAATGATACACATTGGCTTGTTTTGTCTTTTGTTTGTATGTGTCTGTTGTGGTCATCTCTTTGCTCATGCTTACTTTAAAATTAGGCTTCCCACACATTCCACCACCATCACGAGAAAATATATAATAACATGCTGATGGAAGCACAGTTCAGAGTTAAGCAAAACACTAAGGTCTTTGATACCAGATTTACAAAGGGCTTAGTTTAATGACTGCAAATTTAGTATTTTTTAAAGAAAGAGATAATTTCTGTTTTACCAGTATCAAGCTTCATATGGTTAGCTGTGCACCAGTTTCACACAAACTTAATACATGACTGAACTCAGAAAAATGAGCAAACATAGTTTATTGGTCAGGTAAATACAAAACTAGACAGACCATAATATCAAGTTTATCTAAATGCACAGAATGTCAGTTGCCGAGGAAATTGTCACTGCCACAAGGGATGCCGTATGGGACCGTCTTGCAAATATCTTTCAGCAGCGTTTCCAGCAGCTATACCAACATGGGCAGACTTCCACAGTGGCCAACAGTGACTATTTTGAGGGAGGATGTGGATAGGTATAAGTGTGTATCTTGTAATATGGTGCAACAAAACCACAGTCCACGAAATTATTGACTGTAGTAATATGTAAAATGAGTATATACAAAGATCAGTGCGGTGTTCCTAGTTCTTCCGCATGACTTCTTGGGTATGTCATCATATAAGTATTAATACTATGTAGAATGGTGTGTCCTTGTTATGTGGACATTTCATGTTTCCTCTATTCAGGTATACTGTGGACTGGCCAGTTGTCGTTTCCACGACCAAACCTTTTCCTGTTAAAATGTAGAACATTGGAAGTAATCCTTGCCTAATCTACTGCAAGATTCTGATTCAAGGTACATACTGAATTGGAAGAAATGGGGCTCTTTTACAATATGCTCCCAAATAATCCCTTCAGAATAAGGGGAACAAAGCCATGGAGGCTGACTGATCATATTGCTCTGCTGCAATTCTGATGGCAGTGCAAACCTTTCATAATAGAGAAATATGTAAAGACATGGTGTTTTAAAAGCATAAACTCATTGCCATGCAGGTACGCACAAAATAAGAAAGTATGGGGTAACGATGATTTTTTTTAAATTTGCTTAGTGGGGGTTGAGTCCAACTGGGTCCACTCAGCATGGCGGCCACTGATTGGCCTATTGCACCTGCTCCAGGTGATTACGATGATGGAGAATTTGGTGGAATGAAGATTGACAGGGGAAACCGAAGTACAACAGTACTGCTGAGTGTTGAAGATATCTGTGATGCTGCAAGTAAAGAGAAAGATGTGAGGGAGAATTTTGATGAAGATTTAGATGACCCATTTGGTGACCCAATTTCTGCATTTCAGACAATGAAGCTCTAAATGACTTCTTTACCAATTGACAATATGATAATGCAGTAACTGACACAACTGGAAAGCGAGTTCCACTTCCAATGAACATGTCAGACAGAAATCTGTACCACATTACTTCAAGAAGTAAACCATCTGGTTATGCAAGCTTGTACTATTTTTTATTTCAAAATACAACATAGAGCATAACTGAAAATCATAATTTAATGTTATGTCCTTTATATTAAAAAAAAATTTCTTCTTTCCAGATTTGGCTGCTAACCTACCATATTTTGTGATTCTAAATTCAGCTTTGTGGATTTATATTTTGTAGTTACTTAAAGTTATATGCAACCACTGACACTGAAACATTTATAGTATGTTTTATGTTTACATTACATAATGCAGTGCTTCTTTAAAATTTTAGTTTTGTAAAAAGTGAAGTTTTGTTTTCAGGATTCAATTAAATAGTTTTCCTGGGAAGTAAAGTGCAGCCGGTGTGTAAGGCTGACATCCTTACCACCATCTATGAGCCGATGGTCTACATAATGTGGGACCCTCAATGTCTCGCAACCTTAGGGGCCTTCATGGCCTAGTACAGGGATAGATTTACTTTACTTTTACTTGTTTTTTTGTAAATATTTATATTGGCAATTATTTTTATTAAGTAATGAAGGTTCGGAACAGCAGAGGGCTCTTGTGAACATAGCAATGGACCTTCAGGTTCCATAAAATGTTTGGAAATTCTTGTATAGTTGCACAACTGGCAGCTTCTCAAGAAGGGCTTACCTCTATGAAGTTAGTAATGAACAAGGTTCAGTGCTTTATTACTGATACAACTAACTTTAAGTCATTTTAGGCTGTAAAAAGTAAGTAAATCTATCCCTGTAACAGGTCGTGGAGGGCCATAGAGTTATGAGATGTTGAGGTTCCCACATTTTCTAGGCAATCGGCTCACAGATGGCGGTAAGGTTGTCAGACCTAGGTGCTGGCCGCCCTTTACCCCCCAAGAGTATTTCTGGTACTTATTTCTGTTAGAGGCTGAGTTGACCCCAGGGCCATAGTGAGGCCAGAAGGATTAGGTCAATTGAAAAAAATCCAATGACCTCATTGGGACTTGAACCCACAACCTTCTGGCTTGTAGCATAGTGCCTCAGCCAACTACGCTACCGCGTGCCACCCCATTTTAGGCTGTAGTTAAATAAATATTTAAGGTAAGGAGAGTCTGTCCCATAGACAAACCTTATATCAGGGGTTCACCATATGTCAGAAACATTACCACCTGCGCCATCTTGCCAACTATTAAATCAGTGTTGAATGTGCATGGTTGTTTGAGCTATTGTAATGAAAATATGCTTCAATCATAGACAGAACCTGGCAAGAAGATCAAATATGAAGGAATCAGCAACTCTGTATTTTTAAACCTTATTTATGCCTTCACAAAACCATGAAACAGCAAGTACTTTAATTACATATAACAAAGTCACTGTTGTTCAAACGGGAGATAATGTAATATCTCAAGAGTGAAAAAAAAATCACCTGGCACAAAAGAAATATGAATTGTTCTCTTGAGTTGGACTCCTTTAGATTTCAGTCGACGCACAGCCTCTAAATACTGAATTCCCACACATTTCATATCCTGCGCACCACGGGCAAATATGTTCCCATTTTTATCCTTATCAGCACTGAAAGGATCATGTGTCCATTTCTCCTGTAAATGAAAAGCATTATTATAGCATCAGGCAAATACTGTTACAAAGAAATGCCTCTAAAATGCGTTTCAGCATACTATCATGGCTGTAATGTTAACCTTTCCAAAGACAAGCTATACACACACAATACACACTTCCAAGTCAAACATAAAAAGTCAGCTTCCCTATTGCACAAACTTCCATTATATAAATTACAGACTGTGACCATCACATTTTAGTGACTTAAATTTAAAATCATATAACACTGTGCTATTTAGTTCATGAACTTCTGCAGAAATGGTAATAGGACTGAATCTTATTCAAGTCAGAATTTCGGCTGGAAGTTCATAACTGTAAATATTGTAACGTGTCGGCAATCCAGAAGAGTCACTTCTATGGAAACGCCAGAATAGACCATTGCATAATAAACAACAATCGCTCTATTGTAGTTCCAACACCGAATCTCCACGGTTACGACGAATACGTGAAGCGTTCCCACAGAGACAACGCGATAACAATGGGTTATTGCGTAGGAAATGCGGAACCGACAAAGCAACGTTTCCACCGCTATAACAGAGGGTTCGTTGCATAGCAGCGACCAAGGTTATATAGCGGGGTTGAATGCATTCGACAGTCAGTCTTGGAATAGCCATCTTAGAAGAAAGTCTTGGAATAGCCATATAAGAAGTCAGTCTTGGAATAGCAGCCGTCTAAGAAGTGAGTCTTCACCCATCCTTCGAAGAACAGAGAGCCTTGGAACAACCGCCAGAGAAGACATTCCAGTATCGCCGAGAAATTGTGTAGGCTAACAATTGTAAAGCGTGTGATTGTGTAAGCGTGAAGAACAATAAATGTTCTACGGAATTTGAGACCTACGTGAGTTTATTTGTAGCGTGACACACAAAACACGCCACAATATGTTAAAAGACTGTGATTGTTGTTACTGTTATTACTACTACTTTAGTTCTGGGAAGAACCTGTTATTTAAATAAGTCTACAGAATCTGCCTATCTTACATCTGTCATATATAATCTGAAAGTTTCACACTATCACATCACCATGTTTGTAACTGCTGATTTAAAATGTTACTTTATAAGTAAGCTGTAGAGATGTTAATAATCTATCTCAGTATAAAATTTTATACTCTAGCTCCAATGGTTCACTAGTTATCGCAATCACACTGACATCTAAATTAAATTGTTCATGGCCACCCTATTGTTACTTAATGCTCTACAAAAATAAAATCTTCAACAAAAATTTCATATTTTTTAAGGATCTGTTATTATATATTGTGACACAAGGGCTCAAAACCAGAGAAGACGTTCATTGCTAGGCTATGGCTATGTAAACATGTTTCCACAGCAACTAAATACTGTAACTGCTGCAACAGATACACATGCAACAATAGAAGAATTGTTACTTCTGAGAGTTCTGAGACAGACCAGTTCCGAGTCAGGAGTGAGTGCTAGCCTGTGATGGTGAGTGGTAGCCAACAGTGGCCAGGCATGGCTAGGCAGTCAATGGCTGGGAGCTGCAGCCATGAGGAGCTATGAGACAGTCAGTAGCTGATAAGGATGTGACCATAGAAGCTGAGGAATTTACGGTGTTGGAAGCTATTACCAAGCAAAGACTAATGAAGACACAGCAGCCTGAGAAGACTTTGTGTGTGTTATAGTGAATTGTAAGGTGCGTAGATTGTCAGTGGCATAGTGAATTGTAAACACGGTTCATAAGAGTCAAATAAATCCAATTACTGATCCAAATCCCGTGTCTAGTCACTAAAATACGTGACAATTTTTTCTCAGGATCCCACTGTAAGTGACACCAGTGCCATTCCCATTCCCCATTACAGTGGAACCTCGCTTAATGAGCATAATTCGTTCCAGAATCTTACTCGTAATGCGAAACGCTCGTTAAATGAAACAATTTTTCCCATATAAATTAATGTAAAATACTGACGTAGCAAGCACACAATCCGGGACTTCCCCTCTCGTCACTCGTTATGCGAAACGTCGCTCGTTAAGCGAGTCATTTTTTTACAATTTGTTTTGCTCGTTATGCGAATACCTCGTTATGAGAGGTGCTTGTTAAGTGAGGGTTCCACTGTATTTACCATATGAAATTAAGAAATAAAATGTAAGGGTGGCCTCAAACAGCATCACATTCAGACCAAATGTCATTATAATGAGCCAAATAACTAAAAAGTTGAAAGAGGACACATGCAGATACAACATGGTATTCTCATAAGGCTACTTCTTTCCTTGAAGGAGGAGGTAGGCTGAAAACCATATCTAGAAAAAAAGATGAAATATCACGCAGTTTTTGCATACATCTAGCCTGAAATAATTATAGATTCACATAAAACTGCCAACTTATGAACTGACATCCTAGCAGTTTTTGAAGGTGCTGTATAGTTAGAAACAGGATAATACTGGACTTTTCCATGTACTCCAATAAATCACTTCATGGATTTTGTTCAAATTTAATACAGGAGACTTTCATTAATTTAAATTTCATTATTGCCATTATTATGTAAGCTTAATATTGAACTTCAAATAATATCATTTTTAATTTTGTATACTACATTATGGATTACATCCTTTCCAAATCTTGTCACCTTTTAAGGAAGGAAAGAGGCTAAAACAGACACATTTATGAAGATAAAACCATGTACAAAACAAAACACTGGGGAGTTTGTAAAAAGAGATTTTTTGTGGAAGTGCCAGAGGTTGGAACATAGAAACTTTCTCCTAGAACTGTTCCAGAAAGAAAAACAGAAGCTGCACAACTACGTTACTAATAACATTATCTTTCCATTAATCTTGGAAGCCAGATCTTTGTGATTATTTATTAAACAACATAATTTAATTTTTAACACCTTAGCTTACAACTACTTTTAATCTGGTCTTTCTGAGTGCAGAACTTACAGGAAATACTGGAACTACATCCATGTGAGAGTTCAGTAGTACTGCTGGAAGGGCTGGCTCTGAACCTTCCCATGTCAACACCACAATAGGTTTCCCAGAAACAACAAAATAAATTTGTAGTGGTAAGCCTATACTGACTGCTTGCTTCTTCAGGAATGCAACACAATCATCTGTACAGAAGTTCACAAGAATGGAAATGAGCTCCTATGAATGTTAAGAAAACAGTACATTAAGTTACAACAGCTGCCACTCTTTCAAAAGTTCACATACAGGAAGATGATCTTAAGAGCTTCCTGTAAATTGTTGAGCTACTAACAAACCCATTAATCAAAACTTTACAACTAACATTACCCAGATTACTGCAGATACTGAAAACAGTCTGCTGTTATGCACGCATTCCAGGTACCTCCATACAAAGTTCACATCCATATACTGAACTTTCTTTGAGAAGTACAGTAAGCTTGCAATTTGAAACCTCGGTTTCCCATGCAAGGCATCTGAGGAATTTTAAAAAAAGAATGTTCAAGCCTAGACCTGATTTCATTTAATTTCTCTCCAATAAGCACTTAGCATTTTGGTTATTCCACCAACAGTGATGAAATCAGTTTTAGAAAGATAGGGACAGCAGTACAAGACAAGACTTGACAGCTTTATGACCCACATAATGTTACATGATTAGTCACTTCCCAATTACTGGCCACTTACAGCTTATCTCCGGCTCAGTGTCATGAAGTGCTGAATCTCTGTTCCTCTACATGCATACCCTCTCCATACTATTTATACAGGCTGAAGGTGACAGAAACATTATACAAGAATTGAAGTTTTCACAGTGGTGAAAACTCATACTGTTGTTGTCTTCTGGGTCATGACACTGTGCAAATGAGCAAGTTGGCCCATGAAGTAACACTCTCAACACGTATCTTTGGCCAGGACACTGACTACCAGGTTTCCCATGCTTTCACTCAGTCCCTCCATGCATATGCCAGGACAATACCTTAAATCAGGATATGACCACTTTCTTCCACATCCATTCCAATTCATTATTTACTATCACACAATCTGCATTACTGACAGCATCATTAAATAAATTACAAATCATAACCCAGAAGACCATAATATGAAAAAACACAAAGAAGTTTTTCCTGTGTACTTTTTGAAATTTAATCACCTAAACTACTACTGACTTTTAAATGCCACCCTTATGTGTACAACAACTCAGTTTTCCTAGGCCCATACCAGCATAAAATGACACTGTTAGGATCACTTGCTAAAATTCCAAATTTTTTCTGGTTAAGAAAAACTGATTGTGAACCTAGGTGGAAAAATTAAATGCCTAATTTTCTCCACCATTCACCCTGCGTTCTCATGGAGGACATCAGGCTCCAAGAGCAACTGTTTGTATTGGTATATCGTACACATATGTATGCACATAAAACAAACAGCTACATCACTTATCACATAAATCTGTGATGATGAAAGAAGACACAGTTTTCAAGATATTGGAAATACATTTCCTACTAACATATAATGGCACACTGGATCATCAACCCATAATATACTGCTCTCATTACAACCAATGCAATTAGTTTTATGAAAGATCCTAATTAAAAGTGGACTGCAGCTAATCTTATTGCAAATTTTGTCACTATGTACCTCCAATTTAGATTCCTACCTAGAACAAACCACAGGAAATCAGGGATGTTTTGCTTAATTAATCCTTTTATTCTTTATGTAAGTTTAAGTTAGTGTCATATCTGTCTTGCTTTGTTTCAGACATAATATACTTCAGATAGACAGTTTTAATCAAAGAACTGTGTAGCTGTCTTGTAGATTCTAGCTCCTCTGAATTTATTTCTGTATTTACAACATACTTGAGGTATCATCCACACACACTTCTTTCTAATTTTAAAAAATCACTGATTCACTGATGCAAATTTTCACTTACACCATCTATGACAGAGACATTGTTGTTAATTTTAATTTTCTAAAACAAAACTGTGAACTGCTACGAATACTTTCTTTAATGCACAGGGTGGGTAATTATTACTTGATCCACTGGACCCCTGGTATGAACCAATTTTAGCACAGAGTTTATGAAACACAAGGGGAAGTTGCCATTTTTGGCCTACTTTCCTTCCTTACATAAAACAAGTAGTTTATGATAATGCCATGCTGTTTGCACATCTCATTTAAACTTCTTCTATAATGAAATTTGGTATGATTCTTATGCCACTGAAGGCCAGTCCAACCTCATGATTTTTAATTTCCTACATCAGTAATACCAACATAGCAGATGCACAAACTTGTGACATGGGAGCAAGAATAGCACCACTCTTTGTAGGGTTCTGATATTTTGTGTGATAATAGATCTTCAAAAAATATTCAGTTTTTCTTGTAGTAATTTTGTGTACAACACATACAATACTACTGCAGCCACAAAAAAACTTTCATTTAGGTTTCAAATCACAGAAATTTTAAATTTTGTACAAATATAAATCATAAAAATTTCTAAAACTTAAATGTGAAATACTGTTCACAAGTCAAGAGTGACAAACATGGTGATGGCACATAACTTTGATGCTATATACATCATATCTATCAAATTTAGCAAAGAATCAGCAGTTCTACTTAAGGGCTATTGTGTTCTGTCTGTCCACACAGTACTCATAGGTGGTATATTAATTATATCCAATTATTTACATTTCATTCAAAGTGAATATAATGACTCAGAATTACTGGCTTTTTGGACTTTTTCCATTGTTTGGTATTCTAGAAATTAGAAAATATGACTTTTGGATACTGGATCTGTCTCCAAAACGTGTTTTCTAGTTTCTGGAATACAGAACAATGGAAAAAGTTAAAAAACCCAGTAATTCTCAGCATTATGTACCATCATCAGAACCCTTTAGAACCTAGAATATAATAATAATAACAGTAACAATAACAATCTGTAACATATTTAGAATTGAAAATAATAAAAAAATTCCAACTTAAATAGAATTTGATCCAATGTCAATCTACGCACAAACTCAGCATGTCAACCCATGTGTCAAATCACATGTTACTGTTGGATGGCAAACTTACATCACCTAAAAGCATTCACAACACAAGACTGTAGGACAAGATAAGTGTGCAACAGGAAAGAAATCTGTATTATTTCAGTCCAAATTTCCTTATCAGTTTGACATATTTATTATTTTAGATGATATAACCTGCCAATGATCATTTACTGTTATACAGTTCTAAATTATGTACATATCTATGATAGTAATTATTTCTTGTGTTATATATAGTTACATGTTTATTTACAGTGCACCTCAGTGTCTAAGTTTTCCAAGGCTGTGAATCTATTTGAGATTTCAACACAAAAGTGCTCTTTACCCTCTGTCCCATTTAATTTCTTGAGATTGATCCTCTCCATATAAACTCTGTGCGTTGTTTGTTTGCTCACACTTTCCCTAACTTCTGCTACCACCAGGTAGTGGCCAGTATCACAATCTGCTGCCCTGAATGATCGGACATCAAGTATACTTAAGTGCCCTCTCGTATCTATCAAAATATGGTCAATTTGGATGTATGTCTTCCCATCAGGAGATATCCATGTAAATGTATAAATATTACAATGTAGGAACATCATACTTTTGACAATAAAATTTTTGGATGTTGCAAAGTTTGCTACTCTCACTCCATTATCATTACTAATTTCGTGTAAACTCTCCTTCCCAAATGTTGGTTTGAATATGTCTTCCCTACCTACTTTTGATTTTATAAACTGTTTGAAAATACTGTTTTACTAAGCCTGTACTATCTGAGGTTGTTTTTTGGAGTTCATTTGTATGTTGTCCGATACTATACACTGAAGTATCATCAGCATACATTACTGTTCTGTCTTGTAATCTGCACATGTGTGGGCAAGCGCACGAGCATTATATGGTGCAACTGCTGGGGACAATGTCTATCATAAAAATTCCATGTAACATTTGTTTTGCTGAGGTACTTTCATTGCATTTTCTGAACAGTGGGAATAATGATAGGAGAAAAAAAAAGTTATGATTAGCTTCATTTGGTAGCACTGAGCTGGGTGAATACGTGTACTAAAACCGCTAGGATGATCAGCTGTGTCAAAACTAACAACTAGCATTTTGTAGATGTACCTGTCATATTCTGGGTCAATGTGTGTGGAATGATTGTAATTCACAGACGAAGATATCTCAGTCAGTCAATTCAAGGCTTCTAATTACCGGGCTTTATTACTCCGACAAAGACATACATGGAGTACATGTATGACATGTAGGGGATGTGAGTTAGTTCAAGTATTTTGTACCTACGGGATTATGCCTGTGTGTTAGGCACTACAGTGGGTGTGGTTGATTTTTCGGGATGCAATATTACTACTTGCAAACAGCTGTATTTAATAATTATAGCTGCAACAACGTTTATATTCCGCACCTTATACGTTTTAGATTATAACAAATACTGACAATGTGCGGCATTAAATATTCACCGCACAGATTTAATATGAGAAGTCACGGTTCCTCTAGTATCTACCACAACATACAAAAGGAAAAAATATATATATAAAAACCCTTAAAGTTACGTTTAATAATAAGTCTGACGAATTATTACGTCCAGATTTCAATATCACATACCGTAATTCACGTCTGGCTGAACGGAGGGAATACGTAAATATTCACGAAAATTTGTAACAGCTTCACATTCCTCAACACGCTCCTTCTCAGGCGACATCGCTTACCAACGCTACGCTTCGTACTCTTCAACTTTTGCAGAATACACTTCTATTCAACCAATGAAGGTCGACCATTTACAATACGTCATAATCAGTCTTAACAATACTCAGATAAAACTTAACCTAGAGGACCTAGAGAACCTAGAGAGACCTCGAGGACGTGGTGTGCAGGCGAGTGTAGTTGGCATATTAATGCAATTGCGATAAAAGTTCTGCGTATTAAATGTGTTCTGCAGTCTGTATCGGTCTGTATGATACAAGGAGATATCATATTTACAGGCTTGTAAATTGCTTGGATATTTATGATACACCTAACGTAGAAAGCGTAAATAAAGCAATAAATTACGTAATATCAGTGTACACACACACACACACACTTGCACATCAAAGTCAAAGGTTTAGCATTATGTGCTGAAATCCCATCGTCACAAATACTTTTGGACAGATTTATAACATTGTCTTATGCAATGGTATGTTTGTTGGTGGTATCTTTTGTGATCTCAAAAAGGCCTTTGATTGTGTTAATCACGATATATTACTGTCGAAATTGGAATTTTACGGCGTGGCTGATAAGGCTGGTGCTTTGATTAAGTCATACCTTGTTGATAGGCATCAGAGAGTTGTTGTGAATAACGGTCTGAGGTACTCAGAATGGGGGGAAATTAAAAACGGAGTCCCCCAAGGTTCGAGTCTGGGTCCTTTGTTGTTTTTGTTGTATATAAATGACTTGCCCTATATCATATCGAACAAGTCCAAACCCGTTATTTTTGCTGATGATACTAGCATAGTCATTACTAACCCTAGGTCTGATGATTATGAATTCAAGGCTTCTTTAATATTTAAAAACATAAACGATTGGTTTCGAGATAATTTATTGTCATTAAATTTTGAGAAAACACATTTTATCGAATTTCTGACTAAGAACCGCCAGCCAATGGATATTCATATTGATGATGATGATCGGATTGTTAACACTACACATTCTAAGTTTCTGGGGCTTAATTATTGATAACACATTGTCTTGGAATGGACATGTGGATTGGTTAATGTCTAGATTGGGCTCCGCATGTTACGCCATTAGAGCCCTAAAATCTTGCATGTCTCAGGGTACATTAAGAATGATTTACTTTTCTTACTTCCATTCAGTTATGACCTATGGTTTGGTTTTTTGGGGTAATTCCCCTTATAGTATACATATCTTTAGCTTACAAAAAAGGGCGATTAGAATTATAATGAACTCTGGGAACAGAGATTCATGTAGGGAATTGTTCACGGAACTGGAAATTTTACCCCTTCAATCTCAGTATATATTTTCTCTTGCAATGTTCATGGTTAATAATAAAGATCAATTTAAGTTCAATTCTGAGTTATATAATAGGAATACAAGATATAATAATAAAAAATTCCATTATCCTACATGTAAGTTGACTGTATTTCAGAAAGGAGTGTATTACCATGGTATTACGGTTTTTAATTGGCTTCCTCCTAATATAAGGAACCTGGCTCAAGATGTTAAACATTTTAAAATTGTTTTAAGAAGATTTTTGTTGATGAACTCGTTTTATTCCTTGGAAGATTACTTTGATTGTAAATTTGACCCCAATAATTAACTGTGATCTATTATGGTATTGAATACTGTCATGAGTCTTATATTGTTATTTCTGTGTAGTGTTATTTGTACTATCAATGACTAATTCCTTATCCTATATGTAGTGGATTTATGAAATGTAAATAAATGAGATGAGATGAGTACAAATTTAAATTGTCTGGAGTTATCGCACTGTGTCAATTTTCAAAAGAACAGTTTCGTAGTTGACATCACTACAGTCTTCGTGGGTCATCCCAGAAGAGAGTACTGAGTAAACTGGGTTAGGACGTAACCCTTCTAATTTGTATTTGGGTGGGGGGGTGCACGATTCAAATATTGGAAAAGATACCAGCTATTATGATCCAGTTTTTTTGTACAACTAGTTTCCCTCGATTCCTTCTGGCAAATGCTGAGATAGTACTTCAAAATTGGCCACAACCACTTCCTTTCCAATTCATCATTTATTATTCATCCTACCATTCAGTACTATATAGTCTGAGCTACTGCTTGCCATATGTTGTCTGATGAAATAGAGATGTCAGTGATGAAGTTGACTGACTGATGTTGGTCTGTTTCCTGTATGGTTTTAGGTATCCATTTACTGTTCATGATTTAAAATTAATAATCATTCATTTTGCCACTTTCATTTTTCACTACAGAATGCTGACGTATAAAAGTAAGTCACAACATTATCTCTTGTAATTAAAATTTATTTTCTATTTTTAGGCCATTATTCTGTCTTCCGTGAGGCATCCTTTACCAGTTTTAGAAATCTTAGACCTTCTAGTTTCATCTTCCTTTCTCTTCACCCATGACTCAGGTCCATGTAACATTGTTCTTGTTACCATTACTCTATAGAATTTAGTTGTGTTCTTTCCATATTTTCCCTCTCATCATCCTAAAGGTACAAATTTATTTTACATATACATAGGTTTGTGGGTGAAACTTTCATCACTCACTTCACCTAATCTGTTCAGTGTTTAACTGATGTATCAAAGGAAGTTAATGAAAGGAGTGGGCAATAATGAGAAATGTTCTCAGTGGAGGTGAAGAAGTGACTGGATAACTAGGGCATCAGTAAAAATGAGATCTGAAAGGTGTCAGCAACCAAAACGCCAGCATCCAGTGAACAGAGTTTAGTCTGTTGGATTTGAGGTTCTCACAGTTGTGGCTATGCAGGATTCTGTCTTGTGGTATATAATGTAGTTCACTGAAAGCCAACTGAAATATCAGAGGAACATGTTGCCTTCAGGGTCGAAGAATAAGTAAAGCAATAAATTTCCATGCCTGGTTGCTACCTACTTCATGCTGGCTCCTTGATTGGCTTATTCTTTAACCCTGAAGATCGAGGTGACATGTGCCTCCCAAATGTCGACTGTCAACAGACTACATAGCATTATATCCCAGAAGGTAGAAGAACTCTTCAGAGCTTGGTTTCTTAGCCACAAAGATCATATCATTTAAAACAATCAGGTTAGCTTGTATGCAGATACACAACACAAAGAACTGGCATTATCATACACTTCTGGTAGCTTCAAAGCAAAATTAATGCATATAATAAATTTTTTCATTATAAAATGTATTCAGAATGATTCAGAGTAAATGTAATTCACATTAATTTATGAAATTATATTTCTTAATACATTTTAAGACTTCAAATAAATTTGAGTATGGAGCTTGCACTGTACTTTTGCACAGGACCAAGACATGACACAAAGTTTCAAGAAGCCAACGTTTTCTGAGACAACACTATATATACAAATCTGAACATATCACAGAAATTATGTAGCATAAATGGAGGTTAAGGAAACTGTTGCAGGTAACTTGGGATCCAGCATGTAAAACAGCAGTTAATTGGATTGCCGAAACTGTCAAGACGAATGACCCATAGACAGGCACTTGAACAGCGAGAAACAAAAGTATGGAACTGTGAGGTCACAGCTCAAGCTGTGGCCTATTGTGAAATCACTTATGAAAAGGGTTGGGCCAAAGCCACCAACCACTGTTCATGGACATGCGGGATGTTGGTTCTGGTAGAGACAACCACGTAAATTTCTATAACATATTTATTACTGTACTTCTTTTGGACTTCATTCATTGTTTGGTATGTAAAAGACCACGATGTTTCGGAGACTGTATCTGTCTCCGTCTTCAGGTGGGTAGGGAAGGATAAACCTACTCAGCTGGGCCCGGCAGGAAGAGCTAGTCTCAATCACTGGGCAAACCCCAGTCTCTAGAAAACAACCTACGAACACCCGACAGTCGGTTGGAGATAAGAATAAAATCACAGTAAAAGACTAGACAGAAAATTTGTGCCAAGTATGCACATGTCAACAATGTAAAAAACAGAAGTATAGATTATATTCCAGGAATTCAGTTAAAAACGAAAGTAAAAACTTGGATAATGCATGCCTAATCTGTGTGAATAAAGAATAATCGTGCCACCAGGCTGACTTCCGGGAATCAGACTATTCCCTGGAACAAATCTTGCAGAAGTAGTGGAAGCCACTAATATTCATAAAAACTTACATTTTTGATTTGTTAACCTCTTCATTGATGAGAGGAATCCGTATGGGAGAAATATCCAAACTGAGTTGGCTGATTCGATTGGTTGAACATGCCATATGAGCTGATTCTTTGTACTTTCTGTATCTGCTGTTACTTTCAACCTCCAAGATCCTAGCTTCGTCCCAGCTTACCCTGTGACCTTCTTCATGTGCATGCTGAGCCAACCTGGATTTATCTAGAAGACCTTGCTAGAGATTGTGCCTGTGTTCACGGATTCGCACAGCCTGTGCCTGTTGAATGAACAATGATTAAAACCAAAATGTACCAAACAGTAAAAGGTTGGTGCAGAGACATTGCATATAATTTCCTCATACATGACTCACACTGGCAACAAAATCACTGTTGCTCAGTAGACCACTTGGCTGTTCAATACTGAACAACAGTGAAATGTGTCTGGTTTGAACAAAACTGGCATTTCTCATCTGGGCTCCACGTACATGTACTGTTATTTGCCGCATAGCACCTATAAAGTTTTATGTATAAGGATGGTCTTCATACATTCCTGAAATTTAATCAGAACTGTCTTTAAGAGTCACTTTTAGAAAATTAATTACAGTAGAACTTGGTTATAACGTCATCAAAGGGACCTAAAAATAGTGTTGTTGTAACCAAAATGGGCACTTCCACAACAGCCTTATGTTAGTCACGTAAAAATCTACCAAAAACAGAGTTAAAATGTTGCATTTTTTTTTAGTGAAATACGTAGTTAAGTACAGACTAACGTAAAATTAACGTGGAATTGCCCAAATGTGTAATATCAAAGACATATTACAGCGCTTTTCACTGACAATGCACACAACATTTCACGAATCACTTTAACTTTCTCTTCAATGCTTAAAACTTTCCTTTTCACTGCCATGTTTTCGCTACTGCACTTCTCTGGGTTTAGGCAGGAACACTATATGGTAAGTAGACAATGTGAGGTCCTGTTAGACAAGATTCTAGGAAAGGAATGCAGTTAACAACCTGCCGCGTCCTCTTG